AAACCTCCTCCTCCCCCTGCTTCCCACCTGGCCGTTCAGCCCAGGTTATTTCTCCCTGCGCTTCAGGCAGGAGGTGCCTGGCCACTTCACCGTCCCCCCCTAGGACACCTATGGCCACCCACTCCTCTTTGGCCAGAAGGCGCCGCACCCCGTATTCTCGTAGGTCCCACCAAAACAGCTTCCTCTGAGCAAGCTGCACACACACACACACACAAGCTGCCCTCACGCCAACAGCCGGGAGGTAAAAGAGTGTCACGTCCAACCTCAGAGGTGTCCCCATCCGCCCAGCAAACCACCACGGGGGACTGGATCTAGCGAGGGCTGCGGGAGCAGGGCCCGCAGGGGAGCTGGCACTGTCGAGTTAATCTGGGGCGCTGGGAATTATGCCGTCTCCATTTTGCCACCCACCAGGCCCCGCATGCACGCTGCCTGCAGCGGGGTGGGGGATCCCAGGTTCCTACGGCACCGCAGTGACCCTAAATCACACCCCCAGAGCACCCATGGGGCAGAGCCTTCCCAAGAGAGCACCCTTTCCCCGGGGCAGGTGGGGGAAACCCAGGAGATACAAGTACGGGATGAAGGCAGATGGAGGGGGGGGGTCTGGGTATGGGATAGACCCTGCCCCCAAACAGCGGGGTAAAATTCGTGTTCCACAGCCCCACTGGACCAGTGCTGACCCTGACCATGGGGTCTGCGCCTTTTCCATGTGCCCTTCCACAAGGCACTGGGGGCCAGACGCGTCCTGGCACTGTCCCGGGCGCTGCCTGGGTTGGGTCTGCAAGCAGCAAGTGCCTGGCACTGATTCACAGCACGGAGCGGGTGAAACCTCTTTCCCCACCCCCACCCCTTTGGCAGGGACCCCGCGCGCTGGCCAGCCCCTCACCCCAGGCCCCCACGCCCCTGACCTTGCTCCTCATCTGCCCCGAGGTGGACACCTTCCGGATGAGCTTGTGAGAACTGTCGTCCTGCTCGCCCTCGCTGTCGGACGACTCCTCGCCACCCGCCTCGGGTGAGATGGGTGCCAGCTTGTCCGAGTCCAGAGATGACACCGATTCCCGGGTCTTCCTCAGGAACAGGTCCCCGGGAACCAGCTTCTCAGCCATCTTCCCACCCAGCTTGGCTCAGGGCTCCACCGCCTCCTGTGACAGCCCTGGGAGGACAAGGACACACAGGAGTGGAGGAAGAGCCCTGAAAAGGGGTGCACAGCTGCTCACCCTCTATGGCTTGGCCAGCTGGGAGGTGCAATCCTGAAAATCAGGGAAGAAGGCGCTTCTTCGCCCAGGAACGCTGCTCAGGGTGGCTTCCTTGCAGGTAAAGTTTTCCTCCCTTGCCTTTTTTCGGTGTCCCAACTCTTCCTCGCCCTGCCGGGCATGCCAACACCATCCCTCACTCTGCCGTGGGAGACTGCAGCCACCCCATGCCCTGGCATTGGGGTGCACCTC